TTCACACTTGCTGCTATGGCCAATATGTTTTGTGGATGTAGTGTGTTAAGTGTGCTTCATAACAAGCCTTTGTTCTCTGTGATAAACAAAGTGAACTTATTTGTGTAATCGTGTTCTGTCCCCACAGGCCATATCTAGTACTTTCCGGAGTTTCAACACTCGATTAGGGACTCTTTTCGCACCAATACAGCGTTCAGGTTATTGATGGTGGCTTATGACCATAAGCAAATCGGGTTATTGTAATGGTGAAACTTTGCTTGTGGTTAGACGTTCTTTGTGGCGGCAGCACCACATTTTCCTAAATACAAATGAATTCTCACTATTACGCTGTTATTGTGGGAAATTCTAAACTCCCCGTATTCTCAATCTCCGATAATCTCAATCTCGTCGTGCAGCTGTCACGCAAGTGCTATTCTATGTGCCTTCCACATGTTTTGCAGGTCCTAGATGCTCGAATATGACTTTCACTCCTCTGGATGAGCCATAAAAATGGGTATGGTAGCTATGGTTGTTTGGAACTCTTTTTGCATACATCCGTCACTCGCAGAGAGTTACTACCCGTCTTGAAATTGTACTGCAAAGGAATGTCTTTTGTTGGGTTCACCTTGGCCCGAGGTAAATTAGGAATATTCTAGCTTGTAGGGTGTAGCGGACCATATTAATTGCTGGTCCTCCTTTTGCTTGCCTGTCCTTTTAAGGAATACTATTCCGTTAGATTTGCCCTCATCATATGATTTAAAGCCAGTCCATCTCACTTCCAACTAGTTACCTCTATTGGTGCATTGCGGGGATAGGAGACTATGCCCTGCCAGATGCTGTCCATAGTAGTGCTGCAAGCGATTTCCACACGTGTTACCTTGTTTATGGTTCGCACAGTTGGAACCGCATCTTGCTGTTAACTACAAGTTAGATATATGGAATGCGATATAGGTTAGCGCAGTATGCAATGTGTGCAATGCATGCCTTAAAGTTTCCTTGGAGGATTGAAATGGATCGAGGGCTAAAATTGGGCCGTGCGTTGCTTGGTATGTATAATTGATTTTGAGGTGGTTGTTTTGTCAGGACAATTCAAGACTGGCGCCCATCCCTTTGATTTAGCCTCAGGAATGAGTGAGCATAGGCGTTAGAGTTTCTTTGGAGGCTCTATCACCTTGCATGTATAATGCGTGGGTGTAATTAGCCCGTTGGTCTGAGAATTCTAAGGCATTCTATTGCAACAAATTATGGACGCGGATTTTTTCTATGCCTTGAAATAAATTTGACTTATGTTTTGATCGTACAAGTTGCCAACAAGGGGTTAGTAAAGACCTTTAAATTGTACAACAAATGCCATGCTCTTTGCCTGTCGCCCTCTGTTGGCTGTTACATCTCTACGCAGGATTTCGGCAAAGGCGGAACAACCGTGTCCCGAATGGACAGAACTCCGTAAGAGCCAGTAGGTGGCTCAGGTTGTCTCTCTTAAGTCGTGGATCCCCGTACCCTTCCAGCACACAAGATTCCTCTCGCTCCGACGAGGCGTAATCTGAATTTTTGCTTGTCGGATCCTGTCCAAAAGCATAACCGGAACGATGTCCACCGGACGGTAACCCTTTCGCGAGTTACGAGGCCCGGTGCAATCCTCCCTAGTTTGTGCGTGCCCAATTCGTGATGCGAATCTCTATTCGATAGGTTCTCCTCCTCCAGCCTTGCCGACGAGGTAGTCTGAGAAGAAGCGTTTAAAATTCATGAGCGCAGTCCAGCTATGATTCTATGAGAGCTGCCACGTATGTTAACGCTCGAATCGGACGATCTGATTCACAGCAGTCTGTGGATTTTGTCCTTAATAAACTGATTCAGTTAGATTTTTGAGTCTATGCGTAGAGTTTGAGTTATTCCAAATGCGAGATTTGTAATAAATACTTTAAGTTGTGCCGAGTCTTTGTTGTAGGTATACTATTAGGTTTGATACTTATTTATCGTGTCCTCTCCTATGTGTAGTGCGGTGGTGTGATAACTATGAAAGTATTATAGTGTGAATTGGATAGATGTGTGTATGTGAGTACTGATATCATTCACTCCTCTATCTCTTGACTTATTCTTTTCCCCTTTGGTTCCACTTTTAGCTCATGTGCCATTAACTTCAGTAGACTTCGGAAACATTTATATGATATAAGGGCACGATATAGAAACTGAGTTATAAGAAATATCCTCCGCGTTTATTCTAATAGCAATTGTGTGCGATAATCCGAGATTAAGTGGAGAGTGCTATTTGCGAGTGCATATAGGCATCACGTCACATCACCCTAACTCGATGTTTTGTAGTTACATTCAATTTCCACTTCAATTAAAAGAAACATATTGGAAAAGAGAAAATCCGACTATGTGATAGACCTGCATCTCAGTTTCAGTTATCCTGCCTTGATGCTTCGGAGATACGCGGAGCGCTAAGTCGCTATATTAAAAGATTTTCAAAATGTTTTCACCGATTGTCCTACCGAGGCCATAAACACATGCCTCGAATCGCTAATTGTGCACCTACTCAGGTATCTGTGTGTACGTGCCAATTTCAGTCGCCTCTCTAAAATTACATCATCGTATATTGAGGACCGGACACGATGGTAGTATGACATACTAACTTTACTGTTTTTTGCACGAGTATCGATTGTATAGTGATCGTATTGGTCTTTCATGTCATCCTGTCAAAAGCACGATGAGTGAGAATGTTCAAATACTATGGCAAATCTGTATCAGTGTGAGTTAAAAGAACTTGACTCATTTTCTAGAGCAAAGCTAAAATTGGCCTTAAATCGTGGTGAAAACGCATGCCAAATTACAGTAGTCGCTCTGCCATAATAAGACCTATATGTGTAGAAAAGGTATGAGTTGAGGATGTAAATAAGGTTAGGGAAAATCCCCTGGAAATCGAGATATTTGCCCCAAACTTGAAACAATCGTGTCCGTATGTTTACCACGGAGTGGGTCTCCGCTCTACTTGGCGGAAAGCGTAAGCGCGAGATACTGTCTACAGCGGGAATTTTTGCACACAAACATAGACGGCATAACCCCTCTCATATGCGTGTCTCCCTCCACACAGGTTGAGGGCCAAATACTAGTACTCCTGATATTTCCTGTTTGTCTACTCGAACCACTGAACAATAACTACCACGACTAGGCTTAATAAATGGAAGTGAAGAACACAACTATATGATGTCTTCTTCGATCTATCAACAATCTTAGTTAAGTATTCCTAAGAATTTAGATATATGGTAGATACGGCGCCGGTCGCCATGCGGAAACAAGTTAGACTAAAGATGCCTAGAGATCCTGATAGTGGGTTTGGGTTTATCGCTTTGTGGTGCCCGAAAGGTCGCGGCGATGCTCATCAGCTGAACTTCCTCCCGATCGTACCCAAAAGCTCCGAAGCCAGAGGACAATCTCCGTGATGAGGACAATGGTGAGCCTTTGGCCACCGATCAGGCGGGTTTCCTAAATGCCCATTTTAAAATATTAGTGCGACTCTTTGTATCTGGCAAGCAAAGTCCATGTTGGTTTGGCACTACTGTTTTTCAAAAAATCAGTTTCTCAAAAACATTTTGCCAGATTTGGACTCTTTCGTTCAGATTCTAAAAAACCACGACAACAAAAAAGATTAATTCTCGGGTCGGGCCCTCAGGGTCAAGAGGGATCGGTGCTGCTGCAATCTATGAACGATTCGGGCAATGTACTGTAGGACCACGTGAAAATTCTTTGAAATCTTTAATAAACGGACCTAAGCGCTCGGCGTTCCTCAAAAACAAGGTGGACTCGCGATTTGACCAGAACGCGGATCTTTTCAGTACGAACTTAATTAAAAGTGAATTTCATCAACAAAGGTTTTTACAAACCCTGCTCCTCTCTCCGATTAACCAAAATGCTTTTGAAACCGGAGGAATTTCTTTCTCGTCATTTTATCAAAAATTTTGGAAAGGTCCTGAACATAATGGGGGAACACCAAAAAATGGAATTCATGCAAGCAAGATTAGAAAATGGATCACTTAAATCAGATAAAATATTTTAGTCTGGAGCCCAAAGGCTCAAAATATTAGCTACTTAGATTTTGTTTTATCAAGTTCTGCTCGAGGAATATTCACATTCATTGGCTACACTAAAAATAACAAATTTAGTCCCAATTACCTTTAGTTTACAAGCTAAAACATTACAGCATTGGAGGCGATCTAAAAAGAAAAAAGGATAATTAGAACTAGCCTTCACGACAAGTTAGAACTAACTGTGGCTCATTTGCGGACTATCTAATACAACACTCGTCTTAGAGTTGAGGACCGATAAACCTAGAAATCTGAAAAACATTCTAATGAAAATCTAACGCGATCACAAAGATTTTAGTTGACTCTGGTCTATCACACAAAGAGCTATATTGATCACTATTTAAGAGGAGTATTATCAGCATAGTAGCCGAAATGAATTAACCTATGGATTTTCTACTTATATACTCCTTTTGCGCCGATCCAAACTTTTGGTCTGCCCAAACAGAGAATTTATTTTCAGCCCGACAGACAAGAATATATTTGAAAGCTCGTAAATAAATTAAAATGTTTGAAAGGAGATTTCAGAAGATTTTGGAGATTTGGATGTTTAAAAAATTAATAGCTGTCGAATGTGTTTGTATTAATTATATATTGTCACTTGTGTTGTTTTCTAAGGTTACTGTCCGAAATTAGAGTCTAACTATTCACGTTTGTTACTCTTTGTGCCTGCCCAGGCAGCACCTTAGTCGGTCCAATATTTTACAACTGTTTGCAGCGACTAATGCGTTGGTCGCCATTAATACCATTTGCCACTGCTTTGTGACAAATTGTATGTTTGCGCATAAAGTTGGGATGAAGATAGAGGGGAAATGATAAAAATGTTCGGCACATGTTTCTGGTTAGCTGCATGTCTCAAGCACAATTTCACTCGTCACACTAGCGAACCGAATTCATCAAGCCCTCACGCTCAGCACAGACACCGCGCTCACACACACAACCGCCACCGCTGCGCCACCGCAAATCATGACGACCACCGCCGCATCCTCCCAGGTTCTCTCTTACTCTCGGTCTGTCTGTCAGTCTCTCTCTCTCTGGGGCTGTCGACCTCGGTCTCTCTCTCTATCCCCGTTTCTCTATTTCACCTCCTTGTTAGTCTCCGTCGCCTGAGATCCATCACCCACGGAAGCTCAATGGCTACGGTGGTGAAGGAGCGATTAGGGCCATTGGATCCAGTCTTTGCTCGTGTTGCTGATGCCATGGTGGACTAGATCAATCTATAGAAAATGGTGGCTGGGACTCGATTAGCGGCTTGAGATAGTAGTAAGTAATTTTTACCCATGAAGGCTTCTTATTTTCTTATGATGTCCTTTTCGATTCTTCATGTTTACCTAAACAAAAATTAATAGGTAATTGCTTTGCTGGAAATAAAAGATGTTATTGATATTACTGTTGTTAGAGTCTCAAAAATGTTGTAGTTTGTTGGACAAATTACAATGAAAAGGTGATTTGGTCAATTAGTATGTTACTTTGTATGCACAGAAGACCCAAATTTTTGTTTAAAAAATGAGGGGCCTAAATAATTTAATTTTAACCTATGTTGTATTTTAGTAGTTTAAAAATAAAGTTTTACCGAAATAATTATAAAAAAATTGATGTGGTGAATTATTTTAAAGTAATAGATATAATCTATCTCTTCTTCCCCTTCCTTTCCCCCTCTCTGCAACTCCCTTACCACCAAGTGAAACCTTCTTCCCAAACCCCTCTGCAAAACCCCCTATTTCCCTCCCTATGACCCCCTTTCGGCTGGATTAATTAATGAAATCAAGAATATATATATATATATATATATGCAACTTTCAGTGGGTTGCAAGAGAGATCTGTCATTCATTCATGCCTCATGTGCCAATGTTTGTGAAAAGGAGTTGGTCTGTTTTCCTGTGTTGGTGAGCAAACTAATCTTTTTGATTTATGCTCACCAAATGTATGTAAAAATGTCATAGAGAGGTTTTGAGGACTAGTTTGTTGGTTCAATACCCAAACGTTAAAAGAAAAAAAAAATATTATAGAGAAATGTTCTTGTTGAAATTTTTTGCAACAGTGAGCATGGCTTTGATAATCAAAATACAGTAGTTTTTTTTTATTTTTATTTCATAGACCTTTGTCAATATATTTCACTTTTGTTTGAGGTAGAAACTATGTTTTGGACTTGTAGATCTCCCCATTTCCAAAATTTGTACAATTGTTTCTGCTATCATTAATGAAAAACAATGTTATTATCAAATTCACAAGTTCACGAAATGAAAGTAGCCAATTGTTATGCCCAATACTGTTTTGTTTTCATGAAACAAAACGATATTGCTGTTTGTTTCGGGCAAGTTTTGAAGGAGCTTTTTACCAAAATTAAGCTAGTGTGGTCATCTCTGTTATTAGTTTCCATTGTTGCCCCATATTTTCTAATATCCCATTGTTGTTAGTATTGCCAATCTTTATTCTTGTATAAGTAATGTTATGGGACCCAACTTTTTTCTTTTTACATACCATGAAATTTTGGATGGATTTATATATACCATGTGATTATTGTATGCTTTTGTTGGAGTATGCTGAAAAATTAGATAAGATTTGAAGGATTATTTTTAAAAAGTGGATTGTTGTTTAGCCCAAGGGAGTGCTATAATTAAGTCATACCACATTTTGGTTACCTTAACACAGGATTACGGGCATTAGCTAAAAAAAAAAAAGCTTCTCAAGTGTAATCAAAAGAGCCCTTACCTGCTGGGGAGCCAGCCACTTAGGGTTTAAACAGGCCAAGAAAAAGAAATCTATTTTAAGAGTTGATAACTTAAAGTTATATCCTAGTGGATACATGCAGAATTATATCAGAGTTGGCATACTTTGAACTTCCATTTTCAATAAATCCAAATTAGCTCCGCTTCAGATTTGGGTACATTTGAGGTTGGTTGGCTGAGTTTATTAACATATGCTACTGGTTTGTCAATAAGCAAGTTCAGAGGTTGAAACCTCCATAATCAATCAATGCAACCTCAAAACTACTTGGGGGCAGGAGCGAACTCAATTATGTATTGATGAAGCATCAATTGGTACAAGGGAGTAGTTCATAATAGTGTTTTGGAAAGCACATGTGACTGAAAAAGTTGTAATTGTTTAATAATTAATTTGGTTGATGATATAATAGAAATTGATAATCTGGCTCTGTCTTAATTTATTTATTTCATATTTCCCAATCTATGCATGTGTGATTCGTGATTCGTTTTCTTTCGTATCTTTTATATCTAACCCACAATTCAAATTGTTATTCGTCTTAAACTTAAGTTTTGTTGTTATTTTTCTAATTTTAGTTAATTTATCTATCCAAGATGGAAATGATGTTCCACTTGTTTGTTTTGAATACTCTTAGAATTGTATGGACTACTTAAAATCCATATATATTGCATATAATGAGATTTGGAATTTATCCATAAAAAAAAAAAAAGTAAAGATTTTGTGGTATGAATTTTATATTTTTTAATTGTTCCAATATATGCACTTTCTATTGTTTTCTTTTTCTTCACCAAAACCTTGGATATGCTTTCCCACCATCACTGTTGTTGTGGTTGTGGTTTCAATTATTGCATATCTTGTTTCATGGAAAATAAGTTTTATTACCAATTCGAAATTGTATTAGGGTACTAGCAATATGAGAACCTAGATTGATGGTTAGAAATCAAGATTTTGAGCATGACATGGTATAGTGAATGAGAGTAGGTATCTAGTGTTGCATGGCTTTGGTGTAAAAGTGTGTTTAACTCATGTTACTGTTGTATTTTCAAGCTTACTTATCTCTTCCGGAGGGGACTGCTTCTGTGGTTGGCTTAATTGCAATGATGACTGATCACTACTGCAATTTGGTGAGATTTTAGTTTAATAACAATTAATGGACTGAATATTTATGTACAATTGTTGTTGTTATAATTATGATGATGATGATGATGATGATGATGATGATAATGATGATTATTAATCCTTGTAGGATATTAATGAAAAAAGATTGTACTATATGTATGTGCAAAAAATTGGTTGCTTCTATTTCTTACAATTACTACATA